GCGATAGTTTAAAAATTTTGTCAAAAAAAATATCACTAATTATAAATTTTAGCGACAATTTAAAAAAATCATCACAGAAAAATGTCATTAATTGTAAGTTCTAAGGATAATTTATAAAAATCGTGATAAAAAAAAGTCACTAATTGTTAATTTTTTAGTAATATATGGAAAAAATTGCTACAAAAAATTATTTTTAATAATGATTTTATTAGGACTTATTTTCAATAGGATTTAATAGAAATTAAGTTTAACTATTAGGACCTATTGGTAGTTTACCCAAATAATAAAAAAAAAATCTAGCGAAAGGAATTTTATCTCTATAGTAGAAAAAATTATTGTTTTGACTAAGGTACAGTATGACTTGGATATATACTAAGTACATCTGAGTACATCAAAAATCAAGAAGAAAAAGCTTGAGTACGTATTTCGTATACTCAGTACATATACAGACGTACCATATGAAGTATCATACGATAATAAGTGTTCGGTACGGGTATGGCATGCTTGTCGAATTACCCATGCTTCATAGCCATGAACATAAACCCATATTATAAATTAGTAAAATAGCCTACCTAGTTAAGATTTATTTCAAGAAAAACCTTCAATTTCTGTTATGTCTTTAAAAAGTGAGCGCCAATTCTTCGGTGGGGGGGGGGGTGGGGTTGTTTGGCATCCCTTACTTTAGCACATATTTTTATCTTTTTATCTTATTTTTGAGTCACATTATCTCTTATTTAGGCCACATCACATCTTTACCAAATTGCACATCTTTTCATAAAGTCAAAAAGTATACTTATTTAGGATCACCCCAAACAACCCTTTAGGGGTTGTTTGGGGTGTCCTAAATAAGTGTACTTTTTGTCTTTTTGGACTAAAAAATTGAGGAAGAAAATATGGATGTTTGGGTTAACTTTTTAACTTTTTATGGAAAAATATGTAATAAAAAATTGTAAAAATTGATTTGTAGGGCAAAATTAGGATTGAGAGTTGTGCAGCCGTAATTGTTGACTTTTGGTGAATAGTGTTAACTTTTTAACTTTTTTAAGTAACTTTTTAGCTTTTTGACTTTTTTGTAATATGCCAAACTTGGCCTTAGTTTAGTTTGGTTTGATAAAAAAATCAAGGGGAAATTACCAAAAAAAAAAAATAATCCCAGGGAGGAAATTATAAAAAAAATCCCTAGGGTTTGACTCTTATAACAAAATAAAGCATAGCATTTTAATTTTATTAATTTAAATCCTAAATTTTTGATTTGTTTTCAATCTAAACCATTTGTCCATTTTCGTTAAGTAAAATTGATCGAAAAATGTGTATTTCAGTCATTAAACTCAATAAAAATGGTATTTTAGACATTTTATGTATATTTACATTGAGTTTTATAACTAAAATATTTTTTTCTGTCGGTTTTACTTAATAAAAATAGATTAATGGTTTAGATTGAAAACAAATTAAAAAATTATGGTTTAAATTGACAAAATTGAAAATTCATAATAGTTTATTTTGTTAAAAGACTCAAACTCAGGGGATTTTTCCTTTAATTATCCCAAAAATCAATTATTAGTATTTTATTGTCAAATTATCTACTTGGTCATGTACTATTGATTGGGTCTATTAAGTTTTAAATTATATAAATCAAAATTTATTTAGGGTTTGTTTGGCATTGGCTTTTTTAGTCAACTTTTTTGTGCTAGGACTGTTTTAGTCTGGCTTTTTTAGCCTCGTTTGATTTTTATTTTGGGACTTTTTTGATTTTTATGAGAGAAAAAGTGTAATGATTATAAATAAAAAGTAGTATTTTGTCTTATTGACTTATGTAGCTTATTTTGTCTTTTTGTGATTATTTAGCTCCAAAATGTTAGCCAAACCATGGCATAGTCTATGAATCTATGAAGCACAGATACAAGTACGGGTACTGATATGATACAAATATGTCGATACAGTAAAATCTAAAAAAAGTAAGATACAGGTACAGTTTAGAACATTTGTAAAAAAATATTTATTTTTAATTTGTATAATGCAAAGATTTATTAAATGGTTTAATTTGTTAAGATCTAATTTATAATTAATATTAAATGCCAAAAGTAAAGGTATAAACCATAACTTAATTTTAAAATCATGCTAAGCATAAAATTATAAATAAAAAAGGGGACTTACGTGTAGGTTTTAATAGGTGAACTTTTTGTCCAATAGGTGTTATGATAATTAATGGCGTTTTTCATCAAACACTATTAAAAAAACGTCACTAATTGTTAATTTTCAGCGATAGTTTAAAAATTTTGTCAAAAAAAATATCACTAATTATAAATTTTAGCGACAATTTAAAAAAATCATCACAGAAAAATGTCATTAATTGTAAGTTCTAAGGATAATTTATAAAAATCGTGATAAAAAAAAGTCACTAATTGTTAATTTTTTAGTAATATATGTAAAAAATTGCTACAAAAAATTATTTTTAATAATGATTTTATTAGGACTTATTTTCAATAGGATTTAATAGAAATTAAGTTTAACTATTAGGACCTATTGGTAGTTTACCCAAATAATAAAAAAAAAATCTAGCGAAAGGAATTTTATCTCTATAGTAGAAAAAATTATTGTTTTGACTAAGGTACAGTATGACTTGGATATATACTAAGTACATCTGAGTACATCAAAAATCAAGAAGAAAAAGCTTGAGTACGTATTTCGTATACTCAGTACATATACAGACGTACCATATGAAGTATCATACGATAATAAGTGTTCGGTACGGGTATGGCATGCTTGTCGAATTACCCATGCTTCATAGCCATGAACATAAACCCATATTATAAATTAGTAAAATAGCCTACCTAGTTAAGATTTATTTCAAGAAAAACCTTCAATTTCTGTTATGTCTTTAAAAAGTGAGCGCCAATTCTTCTAGTGAATTTCCTTTATAAGAGTAATGGTAATCATTTATAGTATTTTCTTACTTATCTTCTATAAAAGCTACTTATTTGCATTTATTTAATATTATATGCCAAATTTCGTATAATTTTTAATTGATTGCCTTTAAGTTTTTCATGAAGTTTTTTTTAATAATTTAATTAAAATATTATTTTGTTCTATTATTATTTGTAGTGAAGTGTGATTATTTAAATTATCTGATTCTACTTTTAGTATATCTAACTCATATAATTTTATTGGCAAGCCTAAAAACTAGGTTCAGATATCAATTTAAATACACAGTGAAATAAAATACTTTTTAAAAGCATGATTATAAATTTAAGGTTTTCTCTGGAATAAAATTTTAACTAGGTATGATCTTTTATTAATTTATAACACTTATGAGTTTATATTTTATTTTTGTAATATTTTTAGAGACTAAATATGTTTGAATTAAATACTTTAGGAACTTAATAGATTAAATCGATACTTTACGAACTAATTAGATCTTGATTTATATACTGTAGAAACTTAGTAGACTCAATCAATAATTTATGGATTAAATAGACAATTTAGCAATAGTTTAACGGCAGAAAGTAAAATTAACCCATTTCAAAACTATTACAGTAGCATATATATCTTTTGAATAGATTATTGCAAAATTCAAGTCTAGAGAACTCTGAAGCTAAAGGAGTATGAAAATAAAAATCTAAAATGCCAATAAAATACACACACACACACACACAAAAAAAAAGAGATGCTTGAGATGCCCTAGAAACAAATTTGGGGGGCATATATATAATTTTAGAGTGGTTAAATTGCAAGACATTTAAAAAATCCTGCTGCCTGTAGCACTTAAACTACCTCACATAGGTTTACCTGATAAAATAAGACCTCATAAACAAAACCACCACCACCTCCCATAGGTTTACTTTGTAAGACTCAAACAGAACCACCGCTACATAATTTCACATCCCGGCATTACTATTACACTGGCTACAACCCAGGATTCTCAACTTATCTAACTATGGTTACTGATACTAAGTGTTGGTAATCTTAGGTAAAAGTAGCCATTTGATTCAAACCATTGCTTTACTTCACTTAATTGTGTACAGTCTCTAAGATACTGTTTGATCTCAGCTTGGTTTTCTTGTGATCATGAAAAACAAGGCAAAACCGAATCAAGAAGCAAGCATGAAGAATTCAGCTTGTTCAATGTGTAACACATGCTCTCGATATCAACAAATTTATCTCCTTATTTTGAGATTTGGAAGACCGTATGATAATAAGAAGGAAAGTCAGGGGCAAGAAACAAGGAGGGAGAAGTATTCCAAGAAGTAAACAAGGATAATGAAGATGAGACAAATAGAGAAGAGAAGATAAGATGAGAGAGAAAAAGATAGAGAAGAGAATCGATATGTTGGGGCCCTTTTTGAATAGGAGAGGAGTTCCAAGGAGGTAAATGAGAGGGAAACATAGAAGATAGGTAAAATTGAGTAGAGAATATAGGAAAATTAGTGAGGGGCGTACTGTTGTCTGAATTGGTCATTAGTTTCTCTTATTTTTGGAGGCTTCCCAAGCTTTAGGTTGCAGGGTTTATAAGAAACTAAATTCAAGTAGAAACATCTTAATATACAACCTCACCAGAGGAGTAACATGTAAAGCCCTAAATTTCATTCTAAATCCACAGAAACTGCCATGGAAGTCAAACTACAATAATTTTAACCATTCTAATTGGATTAATTACTAACATATCAATTGATGCATCAACTTCTCGAATCCTGCAGCTATTGAGGGTGCAACAAATAAGAACCATGAGTTTCTTTCTCTCTCTCTCAGTAACTGTAATCATCTCTGCTATTTTTAAGTTCAGAACTATGGTTCTTCAAGGTCGGTCTTTATGTTGATTTTTTGCCTTTGGTAGTTATATCACATTGTGGCTTATGATTCTGGTTGATTCTTTGCTTACCATATTAGGAGCCTCAAAGTTAGTTTCTTCAATGCTTAGCAAATAAAAATGCATTTAATTTATACTTTATCATTGCCTTGCTACAATGTAATAAAATTGGTTGATTTCTGAATGTTTATGTTAGTCAAAGAGCATTTATTCATATAGAAGAACCTTCAACCTCTTCATACCTAGCTTTAGTTGTATGTTCTTATCATTGCCATTCGCTTAATGTAGAGTCTTGTTTGGTGCTTGCACATATGTCACACTCAATACAACAATTCTTATTTGCATGGCTTCAAACTAATTGTTTGATTTTTTGCTTTTTTCATGTGATTTTTCCTTCTCCCTTCCCATGGAGTCCCACCTTGTGTTCTTTTCTTCCTTACCTGCTGTGGGTCTCTATGGTGGGGGAGGGAGTTTGTCTGGGACTGTGCATCTCTTGATGTTCTTCCATGACTTGTTGCATTCATGTTTAGCTAGAGCCTAAAGTTGTGTGTGTTTACCAGGACAAGGAAGGTATCCCACCTGATCAACAGAGATTGATTTTTGCTGGCAAACAATTGGAAGATGGCCGAACTCTTGCGGACTACAACATCCAGAAGGAGTCAACACTTCATCTGGTTTTGAGGCTTAGGGGAGGAACTATGATTAAGGTGAAGACTCTCACTGGAAAAGAAATTGAAATTGATATTGAACCAACTGATACCATTGACCGGATCAAGGAACGGGTTGAAGAGAAAGAAGGAATTCCTCCAGTGCAGCAAAGGTTTGTATTAACTCTTATAATTGATTGAACTTCAATATTTGAATTGTTATAGCCATGTTGCAGTTAGTTAAATAACCATGCAGTTGGCTCATGATATGTCGTGTGTTCTTGATTTTAAATTTCTGAACTATTTTATGCTTATGTCTTCTTTACATAGTATGGTCGGTTATTTTATGCTTATACTTCAGAGCAACTATTGATTTGAGGAATTAAGGGGGGGCGCTTATGCAAAATAGTTTTTTTTTTTTTTTTCTCAGTGATGTCCGCAAGAATATGTTTGCGAATGTAATTATGTTTGCTAATGATTAAGTTATGCTTTTGTTAAAATTTACCATCACCTACCACCAATTTACCATCACCTACCACCACCTACTCCTCACCTACTACACTCACCCTCTCCTATATAATGAGCCACCCACCATTTGTAATATACAACTATCAAATATATATAACATTAACATCAATCAATAATACAATCATTTCTCTTTATACATTAAATTTCTACATGGTATCAGAGCAAGGTTAAGCTCTTGGTGCTCTTCGCCTTCTGGCGGGCGGCAACTTTGCCTTAACCGCCCGCCAGACCTCAACCAATTAAAACCTACCAAAACCTCCAACCACTGCAGCAACTCAAACCACTGCTAGCTCGAATTGACGCCAACTCTTCTCGCAACCAGTGTTTCATTTCGGCCTACTGCAGATACAGATTGCCTTGCTGCAACTCCGGGCACCGTCGCCGACCATCCCAACTCGCATGGTTTGCATGCTTCGTGTCCAGCACCTGCAATATTGCTGCGTCTGACTGCTGACCACGACGCCTACCCAATACGTCGTTGGTCCGTCCCAGCCGTGACTGCTGACCACGACGCCTACCCAATACGTCGTTGGTCTGTCCATCATCCTTCTCATTCACTGCTCATGCGAGCTACATGTGCTGCCGCCGACCTGTTCTAACTGTCTCAGTGTCGTGTATGTGTTCAGATGTAAGAACACAAGACATGTCCTCTCGTCCCAAAGTCTCCACTCCTCTCACCTCCCTCCGCCGCCTGGCTGAAGGTTACTGGTTGAAACAGTCCTCGATGTCTCCCTATGCAGATTTTGTCACTGCAATGCTTATTCATTCAACTGGCCTGAATCTTCAAAAAGCATATTCTCAAAGATTGAAATCACTAGGCCTTGTTGGACTGTTGGAAAATTCAGAGATTCTTTCATCTGGGGATATGGCTGCTCTGGTGTACTTATGGAATCCTTTTACCATAGTCAGTTGTGTGGGTTTGTCTACTTCTCCAATTGAAAATTTGGTCATCATACTGTCACTTTATGGAGCTTGTACACGACAAATTCCATTGGCAGCTTTTGGATGGGTCATAGCAACACATTTGTCCCTTTATCCTGCTATTCTGATTGTACCGGTGATTCTTTTATTAGGTTATGGTCCAGATGCTCCCCCAAGGAAATTGTTACTGCAAAGGAATTCCTGTGAACTGACAGGTCAACAGAAGGAACTGAAAAATCAACCAGTGCAACTAATTTGTTTCTCTTGGAAACCAGTTGTGTGTTTCTTCTTGTGGGCATCCATGTGGGCATTCTACGTGTTAGTTCTATGTGGCATTTCTGTTAAACAATATGGTGGTCTTCGGGAGATGTTTAAGAGAACTTATGGGTTTATTCTCACAGTGGAAGACTTGTGCCCAAGTTTGTCATCTTGTTAAAGAAAACAAATTCACTCTCTCTCTCTCTCTCATCTTTCCACTTTCAAACCCACAATCCTTTTTTTTAATCAACCCACTACCTCACTTTCTTTAAACCCCACTTTCACTCACACTCACATGGGCTTGTCCCATTCTCCTCTCATCTTTTCAACTTTTCTTTCAACTTTTTTTCCAAAGTATTTGATCTGCCCAAGACGTGGCACAACACTTTATTTTATATATTATTATTATTCTTATTATTTCAACCAAAAAAAAAAAAAAAAGCAGAATTGCACACCAAACCTTCCCTTATTTTATTCATGTCGGGCCTCAACCACCGATCACCCATTTTACATTAAAAAAAAACAAAAAAAAAACCCAAAACAACCACAATAACACAGCAGGGATATTTTTTTCTTTCTCATACTACTGCCGACCGTCTTTTATTGTTTCTTGCCCTCCGTCCATGGATGGCCCATTGACGCGGTGGTTGCCTCCGTGCTTCTCAGACCACCAAGCAGATCTTTCCTCCTCCCTCTCCTCCACTAACAGCATAATGGTGGCACATCCAAATCGGAACATCACGGTGGCCTTCGCTTCAGTTCCTTGTTTGTCGGTCATTTCGCACACTTATCCTGCTCAGCGCATCCTATATACATGCGTTGGCAAGCAGAGTAGACTGGGAAGTTTTAAACTAGTATGCACCAATTCAATATGTCACTGACTCTGCAAGCACGGGAATGCAGACAGTTTAGTGACCGCAGTCTGTATCACACACTGACTTCAATGGATTATAATGAATTGGCTTTACACATCGTCATGACACTGCCATTCTTTGCTTCCACAAGACCAGCTCGGAAAAGAATTCAAAACGGAGCAAAATTCCGAGGGACGCTTGGATATGAGGTAGATAATCCAGTGCCAAAACCGCACCAGTTTCTCTCTCTTGATTGAACTCGTTTAGGACGGTCGGGAAAGAGGGTGCAGCAAAAGTCCACGGGGAGACGAGGCCATTTTCTGGGCAACAAAAGTGTTTACAGACTATCTCTCTCAAGCACAAGGAACTCTTCGCCTCAAAGCCAAACATAGAAAGATATTTTCAAGAGGTTTTCTCAGTTTTTCTCAATTGCCTCAGCCTCTGCCTTCGTCTTTGGCTCTATATAGCCAAGGCAGCCACGCGTACCTCATGCAGCCGCTCGTCGCTTAGACGAACACCTGGGCGCGCAAAGCCAAGTCATGCGCCTCGCCATCAAGTCCGGTGACACCTTTTGATAAAATGGGCACGCCTTTTGCAGGCACGCCTTTTGATGACATTGGGCACGCCTTTTGATAGATGGCGCACACCTTTTGAGGGTGCGACTTTTCTTGGGGCTCCGACCAAAGACTCTGATAAACTGTCCTCGAACTTGGATTCCGGTTTTAGCTCCTTAGGGTCCGACTAAGACTCATGTAATTGCCCTCCCGAACTAGATTGTCGGTTAGTTTCTACAACGGGTCGGACGCCTCTGTTTAAACTGTCCCGACGATTTTGATTCCGTGTTAGCTCCCCTTTATGGGTCCGACAAAAGACTTGTAAACTGTCCCCGCACATTGAATCTCGGTAGTTTCTAAAGGGTCCAGCAAGACTCCGTAAACTGTCACCAACAACTGTTCACAACATTCGTTTCTGCTACACCGGTTCCCGAATGACCCCATAATGTCTCTACACACGGTCGACACTATGACCCCATAAACTGCTCTTCTACCAATGGTTCTGGACACGACCATCACAGGCTCTTTATCCTCGTCTTCTTTTTATGTCATTTTCTTGTTTGTTACTCTCTTCTCCAAACTCAGTTGGTTGTTTCTAACTCCTCCTTCGCAGTTGCGGGGGGCTATTCAAAATTTACCATCACCCTCACCACCAATTTACACTGCACCTCCACCAGCCTACTCCTCACCTACTTACCCTCACTCACCCTCCTCCTAATATTAGTCCATTCCACCATTGTTAATATAAACCTATCAAATTATATATAACATTAACCAAATCAACTCACTAATACATCATCTTCTCTTCTATACATTAAATTTTCTTACACTTTAAATGCCCATTCTTTTTCGCATGCAGCTATTGAAAGGATTACCAACATTAAATTCAATATATTTTGTGTCTTCTGTATGGATTTGAAAAGGTATGATGTATATCTTGATTATGTGATTCAGACATTGTGCTATCCTTTTATGGGATTGGTGGCATGAATTTCTCTCATAGATTTTTCAATTGGAATGTGCTTTTTCATGAATCAATTATTTGAATCTTCAATTGGAATCGGTTGTTTATTATCCCCGGAATTATTTTATTTGACTTTCACAAAATTTCTAATTTCACGGATTGTGTGCTTTCTTGATCTACTGTTAATCACATAGAATTTTCTGCCTCTTTTCTTGTTTAATCTTAATTGCAACACTGTTTTGTGTCGGTTTTCTGCAAGAAAATTCATCGGATGTCTTCGATGTGTCTAATGTTTCTCACTGTCTGCCAGGGCTCATTTATCGCTGGAACGCAGCTTGGAGCTGCACGATGACTAAAACAGCTAAAGATTATAATATGACGGGTCGCTCTGCTACTTCATCTTGTGCTTGCACTGAGGCGGCGTTAGGCACTAAATAATGCCTTTCCTGATTGTTAGGAAAAATAAACTTACTCAAGCCCTTTTGCTGTACATTAATAGTCTTTTGACGAATAGCCCGAGTCTACATGTACTGTGTGGGAAAACCACGGGCAAACTTGTTGGTACACAACGTATTCTACATCCCACACAACTGCTTGCTTCATCTGCTTCATTTTGTACCTTGTCGGGTGGCATTGAACTTTTAATGCAAGTTTCTTTACCTTTTTTCTATTTATTTATTATTCTTAGCTTGAAAACTTTTATTAGGATTTTGCTTCACTGTATGAATTTTGAGTGTGACCTTGTCGATAATTGTTGGAATTTTTACACATGCTTTTGGTGTCGGCTTGAAAACCTACTTGAAAGCACAGAACTACGCCAAAGCTTATTGTTCTTGAAACTAGGTTTGAGACTTCCCCAAGCGGGTGCGCACAACTTTCAACTGGATGCAAAGGCTTTGTAGGTCTTCCTGATAGGTCTATTTCTTGAAGCACCCATGCAAGGGAAGAGGAGTAACCTATATTATTCAGGGATCAACTTTTTAGTATACTCTTCCACTGGATCTTCCTTATTGTATTCTGCTTTGTTTTTTGCGAAAAAAAACCATATTCAGCTTGCTCCTTGGATTTCATTTTTTCACGAAACACATCTTTCTTAAAAATTTTACTTTTTCTTTTTCTTCATGTTTTTTGTTTTTACTGAATTTTTCCTTAATATTCATTCAGTAATTTTTTTTATTTTTTAGACACACCTACATAAATACATCTAAAAACGTAAAAAAATTTATCAATTTTTTTTTTTTCAAAAACTTCACTCAAATATGCAAAAATATTAAAACACTAAAAAAATTACAAGAATGTCAGTAGATCATTTCTGTCATTTCTATGTACCTCATTTAACTTTTTTTAACTATTTTTTTTTTACAACTTTCTTTTATCTTTTAGATACCATCTAACTAAGGTGCATCTAAAAAGTAAAAAAAATATTTCAAATTAAAATTATTCCACTAAAAACAAAAGGAATCGCAAACTTAACAAAAACTTCAGGCTTTTCAAAAAAACTTAATCTAGAAAAATTTTCAAACCAAACACATTGATTTATATTTTCTTGTCATACTACTATCATCCACCCACATTTGCTCATTTCATCTCCTTATACTTTTAAATCTTCAATTGTTATTTTATTTTTGTAGTCACAAAAATGTGAGTGGATGAATGGGCGTTAAACCGATTATCGATTAATACGATCTTTTACAGGTATGCTTTCTACTTGATATATTTTAACAATTGACAGTTCGAATTTATCGCAAATGAATCCCCGAAAAGGACCCAACATGGGCTGCCACAACATGGCTGCTGTTGCACCCCCACAGCATGCCACCCAAGGTGGAAATCCGAGCATCCTGTTTTTGTGATGACCTGGACTTGCATCACTTATACACCCCCATCCTGAGGTTTTTAATTGCCTCCTGCCAAAAATTTAGCATGTGCTTCACAATTTCTTTTCTTTTTATTATTTTTTTATTTTTCGTCTCATAATCCTCTTTATAAATTTTTAGGATTTGAGGGTCGGATGCGTTGCTTCCCCTCAAAATTGACCCTGAATCGATCCCGACACTCTCCTATCTCTCACTCTACCAAACCTTTCTGGCATAATTGTGTCGCTCCTTCCCTCCACATGATTATAAATCCATCTTAGGTTTAGGGGAGCGGGGGCGATAGTGCTGTTGCTACAATTTTTTCTGTCACAAGGAAAGTTTTACAATTAATTTAAATGTTATCATATTTTTCTCTCCTTCATATGATATCTTTTCATTTTATTAAAATGGAATCATGCTTTTCTTATGTTGATTTGAATTCATCTAGAGCATTCGCGACATAGAAAAAATGTAACATGGATCCAATATAAGTTAATTTTTACTTTTTTTTTAATCAATTTTTTTCTTTCTCTCAAATTTCTACACCCAGATTAACAATCTATAATCAAAAACACAAGTGATTGAAATCCAACACGCGAACTTTCGGTTTGGTCAGTCCAAGTCCAACATGCCGGAGGATGCTAACAGCCATTGGAGTCAAAAAGGGTTATGTCATGCATTTGTTCTTCTCCACTGCTTCATTCATTCTTCCAAATCCTATTTTCTATTTTTTTTGTCTGTCGTTCTCGATTGTGTCAGCTAGTGCGTGTCTTACCAACCAAAACGTAAAAATTCGACCCTTCACAGCTTATATCTAATATTTTATTGGTTAAAAAACCCTTTGTGGCTTCTGGGCGGGAAATTGACCTACAATCTAACCGGAACATGTTCTGGATTTTGACAATTATTAATTATTGGATCTCGGTTCAAGTCAACTCCTGTGTTTATTTTTTTGAAATCTCTTGTTTTAGGGACTCATTAATCTCAATGAATAATATCACACAATTTGT